ACTTTTTTATCTAGAGTTCGTGGCCGAATTATTAGGCGCACTATTAGATTCTATGTAAAATCTTAATTATCAAGTGATATTATACAGTTTTATTGTTTTTACACGACTGAAACCGGTTTGCCCTTTTTTACGTTCGTCAGTTGGTTAAATTAGACGATATATTATATAAATTCGACGGTTGGATAAATTAGACTATATATAATATAAATTTGACGATATATTATATAAATATAGAATATTTATTATATCAGATATTATATTAGTATATTACAATAATTAGACCAAATTGTTAGACGCACTGTAGTGTTCTAATAATTACGTTTTTTTTCACTGGTTTATACGCAATACTTTTATATTTAAACATACATGCAATGGGTTTTTATTCGGGAGGTTTTTTATGTACTTTCTATTTGTATTTCTTTTTAACGTACTGCATTACAATGTTAACCAACTGATACACGAACGTAAACAAATGTAAACCGGTTTCAGTCGCGCAAAAATAATAAAGAGCGTCTAATAATTTGGCTAGGGATTGTATGTGGGCTTTATGACATCGTTTTGTACAGATAACGATGCTTTGCAACCTGTTGAAACTCACCGATATTTGTTTTATTCTAACCTTCGAAATAAATTTTCACCACGTATAGACACTCGAAGTCACCATAAAAAGTGATCTCACCCACAAAATTGGAACTCCATATACACCCAATTTACACTTATTCTATTTGCAAAAGAATAATTTTTTATTTCAGTAATTTTGAATACTTTCTATTCACTCTGTTACACTATAATATTTTAAATAGTTAACCCTTTATAAAATATATACTTTTTTCATTATTTTGTATTAATTTAGGTAGGTAGATACATTATTTACGTCGCACTAGAGCTGCACAATGGGCTATTGGCGACGGGCAGGGAAACATCCCTGAAGATGATCAGAAGACATCACAATTTTGATCCTCTGCAGAGGTGATGGTTCCCCTGCTGTGGTAGCCCGACGACCTGCACCTGAAGTCGAGCACTTTACCATAGAGCAGTTTAACGAGGACCGATACCGCGCACCCTCGGTCCTTACGCAGGCTAATCAAAGTGGTCACTCACCCGCTTACTGACTGCAGCCAGTGATGCTTGACTTCGGTGTTCTACAGGGAACCGTGTCTTTACTATCAGTCCTCTGTGGAATGTATTAATTTAGGTTAAAATAAGTGAAAAATATTATATTTAGTATTTTAATAATTTATGGTTATGAAATACATCATGAAACACCTATGCATTTTTCTGCGTTAAAGGTAAAATTTTCAAAACACGGCTCACTTCCAAAAAATGGCTTTCAAATTTACACTTATTGGCATGATCTAAGCGAAACAATTATTCATCATAGATATTTCTTTAATTCACAAAATTAATTATTGATTAATTTTTAATTGATTAATTTATTAATTTTTGAATAAAAATATTTAAAAAAATTTTCAAAGTGCTTTTTTTTTTAAATTTTAAACTTTAGTACAAATATAATTCCTATAATCTTACAGAATTTTTTTTAGCAATTATTAAACTGTTTTTCATGATTAAAAAATACCTAAATATATTTTTGCTTGTAATTGGAGCACCAGGTAAAAAATATTATAAATGAACTGAACGTATTATGAAATCATCATACAATTAAAGACCTCGGCAAAATGACGTCACTTAGACTGAGCTTGTGTATTTCAAAAGCCTTGAGGCGTTTCTGTTGAAGAAATAAAAAAATTGTCTTACAGTAAACGAACAATACTGAATCGTTACTTTAAAATAATTTTGCCTTTAGGAGAACCTGAATTTATTCATATTAATAGTACTTACTGCTATATAAATAAGACAATCAGTAATTTTTTTAAAATTGTTTAATGTCAAGCAATTTATTTTATTCAATGTAGGCATTCTTTTTTTAGGCAAATGACTAAAAAGTATTTTAATTTTATGAATCTTTTGAAAGCTGTTTCATTTAAATCGGATCAATGTATTTAGACCAGATAGGAGTTTTAGGAGCGTTGTTTTGTTGAATTGCTTAATTTTAATACGCAAAAAATGAAATTCGGATCGCTCTTCTGACCATATTTCCCAGAATGCGGCTAAGGTTAAGAATCCAAATATGTAAAAAAAATAATAATAATTTATTCAGAGTAAGTACGTTTCGTAATTTAATTAATAATTAAATAATCAGCATGTTTTAGGTCACCCCCAGGAATCTTGACACTTAGTAAGTGAATATCCGATCATTAGAACAGTTATTCAACTTACAGATACATACAGATTACGTATTATTATAGTGTAGTATTATAACATGCAGATTATGAATTATCATTTTACCTTCAGTAAATTATCATTAAAGGTAGACTGTCTGAATTTTGCATAAATTATTCACCGAGTGAACATAAATAACACTCCCAAGTGGAAGATATCTCCCATTACTTGATTCCCTCGTCTTCTGGATGGGGTTCATTATTACAATGCTGCGGAGTTGAACATTAAAAGCTGTAAATCCAAAAAATTGAGTCCGGCGTTCAACGACGGTTATAAAATTCACTTTACATATAATAATAACTGAACATTAAAAATAAGTATTGTAAGATAGTGAGTTATTTTCTCATTTTATTAAGATGAATCTCATTTAAATGTGGTAAAGCTTGTTTAATGGTTCCTATAAAAATTCTATTTTATGCCAGCAGACGCAACCTTTACTCTTTAATCGAATTTAAAAGAATAAAAAACTGTTGAAGCGCAGGCATAAACAAATTTGACATTAAATAAAAATTTTCATTTCTTTTTTAAATAATTGCAAGCCACTACAAGCATAATTTATTTGTTAAATACGGAATATTACTCTTGAATTCATTATTCTGTCTCTGTCTAATATTGTAATGATTAAATAATAATAATAATATATGTAAATATACATGATCTAGTTTAAAATGATCCCTCCTCCCGAATCTTTCCTTCAAGCTATGCCTAAAAACACCTCTTAATTATGTGCACAAAAATCCTTAATCCGAATTTAGAATTATCTTTAAAAAGTAATAAAATGAGTTATTATTTTATTTATTTTTGTTTTATTTGTTTTATTTGTTTTATTTTTGTTTATTATTTTATTATAAATTCATTTTTTTTATTTTATTGTATTTTTTAAAAGCAAGGCAATAATTTTTTCTATATTTTCTCTCCTTTTTTTCGCTGTTTTCCTGTTCTACAAAAATAGAAATAATGATGTTACCATTATTACTATAGATTTTTCATTTTTCAAAAAATACAAGAAAAAAAAATCATTGTCGCGAACTGAAAAAGAAAAGAAAATGTAATTAACCCTAAACTTGTGCGCTCGAGTTAATTCGAGCTTGCTAAACAAGCCAAACTGTGCACACTCGAGCGTAATTCGAGCGTCGTTGTATTTTATCGTCGAATATAATCGAGAATTGAAAATAAATATTCGAAAACTAAGAAAAAGAATCGTTTTATTGATATTTATCATTTACATAGGATTGTAAGCTATAACACTTATTTATTCAAGAATAAAATATAGCTTTTATCCATGGAACAAAAGCGCAGTATATCAAAATTGTCCACCGAAAGAAAAGTTGAACCAGAAGGAAGTGTGTTTCTTTACATAAAAAAATAGATTATTTTTGCCCTGTTTTTTTCAAAAAATCTGCGCGTTAAGGGGTTAAATCCAGAAATTTATAATTAAATCCCCCCTCCCTTAATCTTTCCTTCAGGCTACGCCTAATACACCACTTTCACTTAATTTTCAAAGTGCGCAAAAATTAGTATTTTTAAACCGAATGTAGAATTATCTTTAAAAAGCAATAAAAGGAGTTATTATAAATTATTTTATTTGTTATTATTTTATTTGTTATTATTTTATTTGTTATTATTTAATTTGTTATTATTTTATTTGTTATTATTTTATTTGTTATTATTTTATTTGCTATTATTTTATTTTTGTTTATTATTTGTAAATTTATTATAAATTCATTTTTCATGTTATTGTATTATTTTATAAAAGCAATATAATAATTTTTAAATTTTTTTTCTCCTTTCATTCGCTATTTTCCTGTTCTATAAAAATATAAATAATATTACCATTATTATGGTAGATTTTTCATCTTTCAAAAAATACAAAAAAAAACATTGTCACGAACTGAAAAAGAATAGAAAATATTTATAATTAAATCCTAAAATTTATTATTAAATAAATCCCCCTCCCATAATCTTTCCTTCTGGCTACGTCTAAAAACACCACATTCACTTAATTTTCAAAGTGCGCAAAAATTACTTTTTTAAATCGAATGTGGAATTATTATCTTTAAAAAGCAATAAAATGAGTTATTATAAATTATTTTATTTGTTATTATTTCATTTATTATTTTATTTTTGCTTATTATTTGTAAATTTATAATAAATTCATTTTTTATGTTATAGTATTATTTTATAAAAGCAATATAATAATTTTTAAAATTTTTTCTCTCCTTTCTCTTGCTATTTTCCTGCTCTAAGAAAATATAAATATTATTACCATTATTGTTATTGATTTCTCCTGTTTCAAAAAATACAAAAAAAAAGTGTCGTGAACTGAAAAAGAAAATATTTATAATTAAAAATCAAGAAATTTAATGTTACTAAATTTTATATTATACTGAATTGTAGAGTGAAACATTTATTCTATCATTAAATTTAAAATTATTTATGAGTGCATAAGCGAATTCCTTTTTTACATGAAAATAAAATATAATTCTTTGCTCTCCTCTTTACATTTTGTATTTACACATCGACACAAACATTACAAAAATAAGCATTTTAAATAAAACTTGGATATAAGCTATAGAAGAAAAGGATGCCAAAGATTGAAGAAATTCTGTCATAATGTATAAGTAGAGAGATAGTTTGTTGACCTTCTCAAATAGTGCTGCGAAATTCAAAGCCACTTTCCCTAATAAAATGTCGCTCTGATCGCCGTGAGTGGGGTGCCACCTAGTGGTAAGACTCTCATTGATCGATGTTGTATGTGACTTGGCTGTTTGCCAGACGATCTATTCGAGCTTCCGTCAACAGATGGACAGGGTCAAGAAGACATGATACCTTACGCATCATGCATGTGCTTTCGAGAGGAAAGTGGTGGACAATGGAAGATAATATCTGCTCAGGTGAGACTACTTTCCTCTACAATTTATTTAATAATTACTTCAAAGTAAACAAACTGCTCTAGATTTTTTAGAGAAAGGAATTTTTGGTATGTGTGCTTTAGTAGTGTGCTCAGTAGATTCATGCTGTTTTTAAGTGAAAAAAAAACTATTTAAAATTAAAGTATAAATAAGTAAAAAAAACCTGCTCTTACTATATATTTATCTTGCTTCTTCGCTAAAATATTTCTATTTTATGCCAGCNTAGTGTGCTCAGTAGATTCATGCTGTTTTTAAGTGAAAAAAAAAACTATTTAAAATTAAAGTATAAATAAGTAAAAAAAACCTGCTCTTACTTTATATTTATCTTGCATCTTCGCTAAAATATTTGATTAAGTGGGTCAAAACCAAAGGTTGTGAACCTATACCACATTTCTATGCATCTTAAATAAAAAAGAATATTGTTAAAAAAAATTTTCACCCATCTCCCCCCCCCCAAAAAAAAAGAATAAAGCTCATAGCAGCAATTTGTGATAGTGTTCATTTTATTTTCTTTATTATTTTTTTATTTTTTTAATAATTTATTTAATTATTTGATCGTTGCACATAGCTTCCAATTTTTTTAATGGAAAAAGGTATGGAACAAGTGACCTTCAAAAATTTTACTGTGTTTCGATTTCGTATTTTTAGCACCTCTCCATTTTTACATGCAAATCAAGTTTTAGACATCAGAAAAAAGAAATTCATTATCTAGTAAACAAAGTTCATGTTGAAACTCTCCCTAAATTGTGTTAGGAGGCATTACATTCAGCCCCATTGGCTAAATGTGGATTACTCGATGCTAAAAACAATCATAAAATGAAATTTTAAGTACAGAGTGTCCAAAAAGTATGAAAACTGTCAAATATCCCGAGAAATGTGTATTGAATAAAAAAATGAAATTTCAAATGCAAAATATTTCTAAGTAATACATTCGATGATACTAAAACTCCACCTTACTGCGGAAGTGGGCTTAGAAATCCAAATTTTGTTTTTATTGAAGATTAGGATGCTCCAGAAAAAGCCCCCCTCATTTGGCGCTCACGTTTTTTGCATTTTGGTTCACAGATGAAAATGGAGACCGCAAAATGAAAATGGGTTGGAGATATCTTGAAAATTGCCTTTCAGAGACCATTTTCTATGCCTCTGACTGCTCTACATGCACGTGTGAATGTTTAGAAACTGCATATTCGCGCATGCGTAAATCACATTCCCTTGCTATCGCATATGCGAATCACAGGCAGTGAGAACGGCCCCTCTGATCGAAAAAAATAAACTATCTTATGACACGATCCTCACTCCCAGACTCGGTCCCACCCCCTAGGTATTGTCTCAGGGTTTGGGGGCAAGCTTGGTGTCATTACATAAATTTTTTTGACCCATTTTCGACCATTTTAATAAATATTTTTATATTAACACTGTGACGTATATTTTCCACTAATTTTATTTTTTTGCTATTGTCAAGGGTTTTAAGACACCCAAAAATTAATCGTTATTCAATTGGAGTAAACACTTTCTGTTGAGAAATTTTTGAACTATTCAAGTTTTTTTAACTAGATTATTGGCAAATGAAATTTTTTGAAAATGTATAATTATTCCTTTTGAGATTTATCATTATGTTTTTATGATGGATTAAAATTGCAAGTCAGTAAATTAAAAAAAAAAAATTAAAAAATAAGGAATAAATAAATTAAAAAAATGTCATAAAAAAACAAGCGTTCAAGTTAATGGTTTGTTCATTGATTTGGTGAATGGTGTCTATATGCACCATTTTATTTCTTAAATAAAATATTTCTTACACACAATTTTTTTTTGTCTTAATAAATGTAATGTAATTAAATTAAATGTAATGTAATATAAATTCAATGAAAATAATACCACATTTTATAAAATTTATATGCTTGGCTTAAAATGGGTTAAGCATACTTTGTTCCATCCAACATGTATTTCGCGAAACAATTTCAACGTCATATTTTAACAATATTTGGGGTATATTTTTCTGAAAACGATCGTTGTTTGATCTATTGAAAAATAGGATTTTTTCCATACTTTAGAACAATTTTGTCCCCGAATGGCCAATTACATGTGGGTGCTATACGTGTCATCCAAAAATTTCTTTCCATAATTTTATGCAAACACCTTGTATTTGCCATGCAGTAAATTATTACAAAAACAGAACTTAAGTGTAGAAAAATAATTGCTGTTTTTGGCCTTTTTTAAACAATTGTTTGTTTTTCAAAGTGAATCAACGAATTTCTGTCCTGGGAGGACTCACTCTATTGCATAAAATTTTATTTTATTAAGATGAAATAATATAGTCTTAATCATAATATAGTTCGGAGTTTCCTTTTTTATTTATTAATATATTTTGAGCATCAAATAATACCTAAAAAATTTAATGCAAATGAAATCAGACTTAATCACATCCTTAGTACAAGATTTTGGGTTAGCCGTGTTGAGGTGAACTAAATACATTTTTTTTAAGAAAATTGGCAAATTAACAATTATTTGAGTTCGAAAATGTGCTTGTTTTTTAATGAAGCCATTAACTTGATTCTAATGCGCATGAAAATATGCTTTGTCAGTAAACAAACAAAAAATGAATAAATAAAACAGTAATGGAGAAAAAAAGTAATAAAAAAGTAGACTGCATGAAATGTAATAAATTTTTACTTTACCACTATAACAAAAATGGTGATAATTATATGCCGAAATTTTTTATTGTCTGTATAAATAGTTCGAAAAATCAATGATTACTTCAAAAGAAAGAAATTAATAGTCTCTAAAAAATTCAAGAATTAAAGCTATTTGAATATTTTTTTACTCTGTTTTTGCGAGGAACAGTACGAAAAATAGCTTTTAAATTTTAGAGTTGTTAGTCGTTAATTAGATGCCACCTCCAGGAGCATAGCAGAGGCACTGGAGTTAACATAGAGAAAATTTGTTTCATTTGGCGCAAAATTAATGATTGGCAATAAAATAATATTCCGTCCCCGAGTGTCAAAATTTGAGAACAAACACTATTTTTTTCAAGTGAGTAAGTACTTTATATACGTCGCACTAGAGTTACACAATGGGTTATTGGCGACGGTCTGGGAAATATCCCTGAAAATGATCCGAAGACATGGCATCGCAATTTTGATCCTCTGCAGAGGTGATGGCACCCCTGCTGTGGTAGCCCGATGACCTGCACCTGAAGTCGAGCACTTTACGGTAGAACAGTTTAACGAGGAACAATACCGCGCACCCTCGGTCCCTACGCAGGCTGATCAAAGTGGTCACTCACTCGCTTACTGACCGCAGCCAGTGATGCTTGACTTCGGTGTTCTACTGGGAACTGTTTCTTTACAATCAGTCCACGGAGGGACCGATTTTTTTTTCTTCAAAAAATTGCATATTTTTTGCTATAAAATACGCGGAGACACAAATCTGGAAGACCTAATTAATTTAAAGATAAATTACTGATTTACAATTGCATTTTGTTTTGTTTGTTTATTAATATACTGTCATAAAATGTCTCAAGTAAAATAAATGAAATATCACAAAAAGCAAATCGGATTAAATTAATTTTTTAATCTCTGCAGAAACCTTAGTACACAGATTTCGTAGGACGAGGAAAGTAAATTAAATAAATTATTGCGTTTTTTTATTTTTTATAATCACCTTTTTATTTAAAAGAATTATCTTAGCCGGTTGTTTCTATATGAAGACAAAGTGTAGTTGTAATAATTGATGGTGTCTTCTTGTCTAATTAAACAATATCATCTTTTTGTATAATACGTCGGACCTCTATTTAACCAAGTCGCTAAATCCCGATAAAAAGTTCGTTACATGGGAAATTCGTTTAACAGGAAATGCCCATTTGAAATACTGAAACAACACAAAATATGATTTAAATTCATAAACACGAGACATAATTAAAACAACAATTGATACACCTTTATCTTGTAAATTATTATCTACTATCGAATTGTTTCAAATGATTTTAGCATTTTATGATATGAAGGTTTGGTGATTTTTTCATCATTTCCGTCTTCTTCCCCAATTTATTGCTGTATTGTTTTTATTTTTCACACTATCCAAACTATCCTATTCAGTTAATGTTTCTGTGGTTGCAGCTTTAGAATCATTAAAAAGTCATTAATCAGTGCATCATCATTAATTTCGTGGTTCTCTCTTGACCGTATCCACATTTTTCTTTTTTTTAATTCTTTTAAATGAACGTCATCCTGGTCTTCTGCGCTTTCCAAATTCTCCGAGCTGACTAAGAATCCAGCTTTAGCAAAACTGTTGTGAATAGAACGATCTGTAACATCATAGTTCCATGCTTTTGAAATTTATGTTATGCTTTCTCATAAATTGATTTTTAGCATGGATTCCTGTATGAACTGCAAACAAAAATGGATTTTACAGCTTTCTTTAATAATTAAGTGGCTGCGAAAATCAATTCAAGGTCATTTCTCCCTATAAAATACGTTAACAAGTTTAAAAATTTGGGGAAATAAGAAAAGTGAATCTCAAAGAAAGTGGATCTTCAAAATAATATTCATTTCGCTATTTGGAAGTTATTTTACGAAGAAATTTCTAAAATGTTCCTCGAAAAAAATCGCAAAATAGAGAAATTCGCAGTTCGTTATATAGAAATCAGACTGTATATCAGTCAGGCAAAAATGAGAGAATTTTATGTGTTTCAGAGGCGAACTTCCAATTTTATTTATTCATCCTAAATGTAAACAGATATTTTTAAATTTTTTTAAAAAATGTTCTTGCTGATTGCAGAAACTTATATAGTTACCAAAAATTATTCCATTTCACACATTTTCTGGTGAACACTGTTAAAATCTTTTCCAACTTGTGCAGGAAAATTTCGAACAGTTTTTGATCGAGAAGTATTTTCTTGAAGACATTTCTGATCTCTGGAAATGGTGTGAGAAATGAAGAGCAGAATTATCTCTAGAAGACCGATTTAATGAAATTTGATATTA